CTACCACTTCACCTACCCCAAGACGGATCCGAGCCTAGTGTCTTTCGCCACCATACGAGACCATACAGGTATACCAGCCCAACTTGGCAAGATGTTAATTGAAGCGATTGAAAAATCTGGCAAGCAACATTTGCTTGTTGACAAATAGTTGTTGACTTGTCATTATAAAAACAAAACTCAATTGTTTCTCTACTTTGATTGTTACATTCTTTGGAAGCTAGGCATAATTATTTTAAAAGCATAGGTTGTAGTGGCGGTCTGGAAGAATTGACAGGGATTGGTCAAGTCTTAGACACGTGTATTAGAGGATTTGTGATCTCACTGTTTTTATATTTGATATTTTTATTGTTGAATGGTAGGGCATATGACTTCTATTAGAAAGTCGTGAGCTTAGAGCCCGACTTAAGTCTTTATGTCGTCCACACATGTCTAATAATAGGGCTTGTAAGTAGGTCACAACTTCTCGTTCTCGCACTTGGCAGCTAGTAGATTTCGAGACCGTAGACTTTCAAGCCCTATAGGGAAAGTATATTCTGCTGAGTATAATGCTGACCACACTTTCCTTTGAAATGCTGACCTCAAAGAAACAGAAGAACTTTACTACATCTACACGATGGACCCAATGTGCAAATGTTACTTTACTTTATACGAGCCGACCCGCGGTGTATCATACGCCGCTATTTTGTTGTTTTTTTCTACTTTTCAGTAATTCATAATTTGCGAATTCGACACTACCAATGCTGCCACTAAATATTTGCTTTAAAACACTAAACCCCCTACCCCCCACCCCCCCCCCCCCGTGAAAGCAGCCTCCTCTTAGTTACCTCCCCTAAGTTTAAATCGTTTCAAACTAAATTATCTGCACCTAATAGCCGTCACCAAACCCTGCTCTATGATTGTAAACGAAAACATTTAGAGTGAACCACAGCTCACCAGACCATGTGAGGGGGTGGGGGTGGGGGGTGGTATCGATAGAGAGGAAGAGAGGTGACTGTAAGGCGCGCTTGCAGTTTGTTTTCTAGCGTCTCCCAGAAGAGAATTATATATATAGATACATATTCTCATGAGTTTTTTGTGCTAAGTAACTTTTAAAATTTGAATAAGTAATAATTATTTTTACGTTTCGTAATTAATATTGTTTATATTTTTTAACTTGCTTGGTTTTATAAATTTAAATAAGTTATGAAGTGTTGTGTGTAAATAATAAGTACCGGGTTACTGTGTTACACGCAAATATTATAAGTTCTGCTTGCAAGTGTGTACATTCGTGCTCAACATAAATTTAAGATATCAGCTCGTATAGAAAGGATGTGACTCGACAATGTATGTGACACTATCACGCTCGTGACAGCTGAACGTGTGTCAAACTCACATGTGTGACAAAGGCAAGTGAATGACACTATAATGTATGATACACATACACGTTTGTAACACGTTCACATTCATGGCACAGTCACGCGTTAAGTTGCGTGACACTGTAACGTGAGTGTCACTGTCACAAGTATGACGACGTTATTGATATGTATCAAACTGTTAGATTTAAGTGTGCAATGATAGAATACATGCAATGGCAACGAGTCACTGGGACAACTGACGAATAAAAACACATCTTTACTAGAATTGCCTTGAAAACATGACTCACACATTCAAGAATTTTTAAGCTCAATACATTGTGGGATAACATGAGAAAATTGTGAATTTTTAAAATACTAAAGGGTTATTTATTGTTTAAGGCTTTTATTTATTTAATGCTTTTTAATCATTACATGATTTTTCATTATTAAAGGGTTTTAGTTATTACATGCTTATTAAATATTAAAGGATTTTTAATTGTTAAGTGCTTTTTCGTATGGAGAATCTTCTTCTTATTCGTTCTTAATTTTATTGTAAGAAGGGATCCCCTGCGACACAATTAAGTATACGTGTCAACTGGTTATGCGCCATTGAGGCCATTGACTCCGATATGGAGAATACAATCGCGTTTTGTTGAATTATTGAAATATTTACATTCTACAACATAATATATGTTCCATTCTCATCACCGAGAGCTCAGGACTTAATTTTTAATAAAAACAACATATAGCTTTAGTAAGGTTACACCATAAAGACCACGCAGAAAGAGAAAAAAATACAATTTCTTACTTTATCGTATACAGAGTATAGAGGACGTATTGTAATCGTGCACAAAAACAATTTTGACAGTTTACGTTGTTTTACACCTTAGTACTACATCATAATATACAGATGATAAGGGACTTATTTTATACGTGCAGATTTATCAAAATTTCGGCGTTCTATACTTAATTGAGTCGGAAAAACTGGGCTTTGCAATTCTGTCCGTATGTCTCCCTCTCTGTGTGTGTATGTGTTGTGTGTATGTCTGTGAACACGGTAACTTGAGTACAGTTACAGTTTTGCTGATGACATTTCATATATAAATATTATATAAATGTGTAGTTCTGTTTCAACTTTTCAGCGATTTCCGATAACTGGAAGTGGAACTTATTCTATAACTGTTTCAGATAGATAAACGAAATTTCACATATAAGTAAAAGATCTAGATTTCTGCTTTCTTTCAAATTTTGAGTCGTTTCTGTTTATCGAAAGTAGTAATTTTTGCTATTTCCAATATCTCAACGCGTTTGAATTTATAAAGTGCTAATTATATTCCGCACTGTTATACACATATTGTTTGGCGTTCACTTGGTGCGCAATTCTTTTTTCTACGAGATTCTATCCTAATATATTAAAGTTCATCTGCAAACTTCTCTCTCTCTCTCTGTCGGCAAAATATTTTCACAGGCTATAATATCAGTATCTTCAGCGATGTATGGAGAACATAATACGGGCTTTTTTGAAAATAATATTGTAGATGTTTTAAATGTATAAACTAAATTTTATTTAAAGAATGAAATTAAAATAAAGGCATATTCGAATGTAGAAAAACAATTTTAATTATACAACCGGAAAATTATTTATAGTTGTGACAAGAACGCCATAAACTATGACGTCACATGCTAAATGTTTAAACTAATGAAAAAAGACAAAACTAATGGCGTCATATTCCGATTTTAGAATATAAAGAAATGAACTATTTCATTCAAATTCGATTTAGATCTACGTACGCTTTGACATGTATATAATGCAATTTTGTCGGCCTAAACTTATAAATTCACTATATCTATTATTAAGTTTATCGAGGTTCAGGATGATAAAAAGAGAGAATGTGTGAATATAATGAAATATTAATGAATAAGAGGTATAAAAACACAGATTGAAATATAGAGAAAACTTATGAAACATGCACACACAAAAAATCAATACTAATTTAAACTGAATCAATTTAACTATCTTACAATTTCACATTTTGTTCCCCACAGGGACCGCAACCCTACAAATTACAACTTATTATTTATCCCCCTTGGCTGGTAACAATGATATGTGTTACATAGACTTTTTTTCACTTCATTTAAGTATAATTTTTTTTAATTACACAAAAATAATCTCTTTGATGCAACGCTGTAAAATCCCATTGAAATAAACCAGCTTGACTAATTTAAAAAAAAAATAACTGACACGAACCACGTTTCCAATAATTAAGCATCAATCTCTACCCCCCCCCCCCCCCCACACACACACACACATAGTAAAATAATAAAAAAATGACTGCACGTCCATTGAAATAATTAAGTTTTACTCACCTGACCCTCTACCCGCGTGAAAGAATCAAACATGATCGCCTCCCCCATTGCAACATTTAAGCCCCCCCCCCCTCCCTTGCGGGAAATAATCAAGCGAAATCTGAAATTTTGAAATATTTGCTGTGATACCTCCCATTTAAATCCTTAAACTTTGACCAGCGCAATATTTAAACTTGGCTTCAGCGATGAAAAACTGCAGCGGTTCCTTGTATGTGTAACACACATTTCACATAAGCCAAATCCAATCATTAATTGTTAAATTAAATTATTATTGTTAAATTATTTATTTATTGTTAAATACCTTCGGCTTATCTGTTATAATTTAAAAAAAAAACAACTAATTGTTTAAAGGTCTGAAAATTGCTTATCTGTAAGTCTATCTGCTACATATTTATTCCTAAAAAGCTCTATAAAAATCTAGAACTCGGTACATAGTCGCCTAAGAGTAACCAAATACCGATAGGTTGTTGTGCCATTCGGGCTTTTTTCGCATTGGGGCAAGTGTCCATTCTGGAAAACGTCATGCTCCCATTTCAAGGTTTTACTTATTAATAATAATATTGAATTAGATGAAGATATCTAAGTAGAAATTAAAAAGTTATGTTCCTAGGTTTTACGTTTTATTAAACAAAATATTATTGAATTGGATGAATATATCTGAATTTATAATACTACCATTCATTAAATTCTGCAAGATAAATATAGACAGAATCAAAAGATGGCACTAAAAAATAAGCTTAGTAATATCAACATTAAACGTTTTTTGATTAGATGAAAAAAAATACTGACAGTGTAGCTTCATGACATGAATTAATTTTATGGGCGATGTAGTTCAAAGATTAGAGTAGCACTTGGTCATTTTGTGGTTGTGTGTATGGCAATGTTTAAAGCGGCTGTTGGTCTTTTTGTTGTAAAAAGTTGGTGATGTTTTATTTGTTCATTTTGTGGTTGTCTACCATGGCAGTAGATCATTTTGTAGTTTAAAACACGGGATGGTCGCAAGCGGATGGTCTGTTTGTGGTTATAAATTTCAGGATAAAATGAGATTATTTATTAAGGTCTTATCGGCTTAGCCTCCCAGCCCCACCCTACTCCCCTGTGATGTTTTATCTAACAGCCCTCACATCTGCTGATTTGTTATCGTTTGGAACAATGCTCACCGCATGTCGACGAAGGACCAATCGTCTTGTCCTTATTTTACTCCCTAACGCGGACCACACCATAAATGGTGCGGTTATCTGAACCTTGGCTCTACTAGCTTGAGGTACGTCTGCACTCAAGACAAGTATATCATTAAAATATAAACTGATATATTTTTTCTGATACACACTGAAATCGTGGATAGACTCCGTGAAATATTCATCATAACGATATCAATACAGCACTAGTTTTCGGTTTTTAGTGTATACGCTGTGAAATTTATTTAACTGATTTGAGGATTACAACTATACTTTGAAACTTTTTTCAACTGGTCTAATTTTCTCGAAAACCAGCAATGATTTTTAAAAAACGGCACATGCACAAATTAATTTTGATATGTTTACTTTTAGGTGTATTTGTGATATGTGCTTACGTAAATATTCATTTAAACAGCCGAACCGTGGTTCATAGTCGCGTAGCAACAGAGTTACGTCATGTTGACAACAGTGCAATTATTCAGGCCATGATGATGAAAAATTGGACGTTACAAAATAGCGATCTGGTAGTGAAGAAATGTGAAGAGAAGCATACAGTCGATAAACAGCGGCTGTTTCGGGATTTACTGAGTGATGTTGTTAACCAGAAGAAATATCAGAGAATCTCGTTGCTAGGTAACGGTCTGGATACGTCACGTGACCCCCCGGGGGTGCTTCCAACGAGCGCCCATTACGTATGGTGCGGGGAGAAGCTGTTCAAGTTTGAAGACTATCTGGGTGTTTTGAGCGTGGTGCGGGTTCTCAGGCCGCTGAAGTTGGTGTTTCACTACAACAAACTGCCGGTGGTTGACCGTTACTACCACACGTGGTTTCAAGAGCTAAAGCAGTCCCTGCCCAGTCTTGAGCTCCGAGAGGCTTCTAAGCTAATCCGCTGTAACACGACCGACGCCTTGGACTACGGTCTGGATCAGCTGGCGTCCAGCCCAGGCGGGGGGTTCTATTTTGGGGAGCGGGCGCTGGTCACGTATATTCCTAAAGAATGGCGCTCGGAGAAATTCTTTACTTACGTCACATCCGGTGCCAACCGCAGTGAACAGGTGTTTGTTTTAGCATCTCAAGGTCACATGGGCAACGGCTCAACTTTACAGCAGTACAAAATCAACATTTTAAACAGGTCGTTTGAATGTCTGACCTTGGATAAGTTCAACGCTGGCAATAATGGGACAGAGTTTAACACCAGGGGTCAGTTGTCTCAAAACTTGTCCCCCTGCCTGGCCGTGCCAGATGGAATCGTACCCGAGGACATCATTAACGAAACCTCGCCATTCGCCTCTCTGGCGAGAAGATTGTTCTATGGCAAGTCGGAACCAGTGGCAGTTAGACAAGGCGAGGTCAGTTGGTTTTTTTACATACAAATCTTTCTTTCAGTCAGTTGGTTTTCTTTACATTCAAATCTTTTCTTTCTGTCTGTGAGGGTGGAGATTTTTAAGATGCGAAACGAATGACTCCAATAACACACAGTTCAAGTTCAACTATAATTGTTCTTTATTAAAATGATATATATGTTCAAGTTTCTACCTAACTGATCTACACTGTACTATTTACTTCTACTACTGACTGTTCACTATACTACTAACTCCCATGACCAATCCTAACACTAACTGTTCTCTACATTCTACATCTGCTCCATTCTACAACCTAACACCTTCTGCCTTCGCTAGCTAATCATGATCTCCTAACTATCTACATTCTCGGCCGTCTCTGCCGCTACCTAACAACTCCTGGCCTATCGCTCTACTGACCCACGCCTCAGTGGTCAGCTGACCGTCCCACGTGACCGGTCAGCCCTGTGCGCCCATTGGCCTCTCTACCCAACCAACTAGGCCTATAGTCTGTTTCTGCTAACCTATATCTGCTAAACATGTCTGACGTAATCTTGCGTCATCACATATCTCCCTCCCTTTCTGTAGCTGACAAATTATATTTTTCAGCGTCTGCTACTAATCTAATACATCAACAACTATCTATCTTACTACTCTATTCTATCCCTAACATCAATCATCTAAATCAAATACAAAATGGGACAGCACAGTTTAAAAAAACATAAAATCTGTGTCTGTGTTCTTGAAAAAAAATGTCATTGTTTTCGTTCTTGTGTAGGTATCCTGACGTCTGTGGTGTCTCTGCTTGATAATGTATGTCTATGTTATGGAATGTGTGAATCCAATCATGTGAAACTCAGTTCTGGCTAGGTTGTCGTGTACTGGCCTTGAGCTAATCTTAGTAGAATGTGTAACTGGTTGAACGGGCTCAACGAGCAGTGTAAGTGTGTGTGTGTGTAAGTGTTATGTACTTATTGGCGTTTATCTGTGGTGGGTGGGTTGTGGCGTTGGTCTACGTAAGTTCCCGTGAGGCGGGTGTAGGCGTAACTTTCGTTGGTCAATGTGATGACGCAACAATCTCATCTCAACGCTGGTTGAGACGTCCACGTAGAGTGGTTATACGATGAACTGGAGCTGTCTGATGCGTGGCGAACAATGACGTAACATTCCGACGCTGGGAACTTGGACGATGGGTCTTCTACCCATTTGTATCTGCCGACGAGGGTGTACGTAGCTGGCGGTCTGTTATTCAACCCCAGTGCGGGTGCGGAGCGGTGGCGATGCGTCCGCTGTCTTGACCAGGGCAATTCTCTGTTAAGCAGGGCTGTTCGCTGTCCAGGTAATTCAACGTAATCAGGGCTTCAGGTGGCGGCATTCTTTGAAGTGTCTGCTTCATCTCGTCTCATTCTGAATAAGCGTAGTGGGTCTGAAATTGTATTACGAGACCATGAGCAATGGTTTTACGTGACCATCTTAGTGCCCGCGCAGACAAGTATTCAGACAGAGGTACCTTCCATTAAAAAAAATAAACCTCAATCCCAAATTTATACGTGCTGAACATTTGTCTGGCGGTATAACAAACATTAAAAAATAACATTACAACATAACCAAATAAAAAATGAGTACACTCTAATCTAACAACAATCTGTAAAGCCTAATAAACTCAATAGACGTAAACACTACTAGAGATTAGAAATAGCTTCACAAAAAGAGTAGACATGTAAGTGTATATAAGTAATCGTGCCGTTTCAAATCAACATTTGAATACGTAATCATATAGTGGAGCAGCTCTCACTATCTGACTTCTGACAAAAAAACTGGCTGGCTTGACTTAATGACTGACTTCACTTATGACTTCAGTAACCTGACTTATTTCACTTTGACTTCAGTAACTCGACTGACTTCAAATTAACGACTGATTTCCTCTGACGACTGACTTAATTAGACCTCTCTGACTGACTTCGACGACTTCAACTTTAAAGACTTCACTGACTGACTTAGATTAACCTGACCTCGACTTCAAGACTTTAACTTTGACTTCAAAGGTTCCAACGACATCACTGACTTCATAAACATCGCTGACTGACCTCGATTGACTTTAAATGACTTCTTTGGCTTCAGTTCTGACTTTTACTTCACGCCGATTTCTCGGCGACTTAATTCCTAACATTCTTGATGACCAGAGTTGTATGACCTATGTTCTAGTTGCGTGACAGCGTGTCGGCCAACACGTTTTGTGTGCCGGGGACAGGAACAATGTCAAATTGATAATCTTGTAAGCTCAGTGCCCAGCGTACCAGTCTTGCGTTTGACAGCTTCTTTGTTTTTAGTGCTTGTAGGGGCGCGTGGTCGGTCTGTAAAGTGAAGTGTGCACCGGCCAGGTATCTGGCAAACTTGTTTATGGCCCAGACTATGGCCAGACATTCTTTCTCAATGACTGCGTAGTTTTTCTCAGCTGACGACAATTTTCGGCTAATGTATTGAACTGGGTGGAGTTCATTGTTAAAGTCTTGTAAAAGACATGCACCTATACCGACCGAAGAGGCATCCGTGCAGAGGATAAAGGGTTGATCTGTATTTGGTAATCTGAGAATAGGTTCCGATGCGAATGCTTGTTTTACCCTGTTTAGTGCTGTTTCACATTTTTCTGTCCACAGTAGTTTCTTATTCTTTTTGTCCGTTTTTGTTAAATTCGTTAGTGGCTCTATGATGGTGGCGAAATTGGGTATAAACTTCCTATAGTAGTTACACAGACCGATCAAGCTACGGACCTCTTTAATTGATGTCGGCACGTTTATGTTCAGTATTTTATTCACTGTAGGTTGGAGTGGCTTTTGTTGACCTTGTGAAATGGAGTGACCTAAAAATTCTATCTCTTCCATTCCTATTTCTATTTTGCTAGGTTTAGCAGTTAGTCCATGCTGCTTTAATATTTCCAGCAGCGTTTCCAGTCCTCTCACATGCTCTTGCCAGGTGTTGTGGAACAGACATATGTCATCTAAGTAGGATATGAGGTCGTCTCGACCCTGTAGTATTTTTCGCATGAGTCTGTTGAAGGTAGCGGTGCGTTCATTAGCCCGAAACTCATGTACTTCCACTGGAACAAGCCAAATGGTGTTATAAAGGCTGTTAGGTGTCTCACATCTTCTTTTATTGGTATCTGCCAATAACCCCTGGATAAGTCAAGCTTTGTAAAGTATTTAGCCTGTTTAAGTTTAGCAAATAAGTCTTCTGGATTTGGCATTGGTTCTGCGTCTGGTATTGTAATGCTGTTCAGTTGTCTGTAATCAATACACAGTCTAAGGTCGTGGGATTTTTTCTTTACTAATACAATAGGAGCAGCATATGAAGAGTCGGAATGTTCTATTATCCCAGCTTGTAATAATTCTTGGATTTGGTTTTGTACGTTTTCTCTGTGATGTATGGGAATGTTGTATGCGGGCATTTTGGTTGCTCTAAGTGAAGTCAACTTAATATCATGGACGATTGTATCTGTTTTACCAGGTTGTGGGGATAGCACCTCTTTAAATTTTTCTAATATTTCCTTGATTTCTTTTTCGAATTCTGGCGGCATTCTGCCGATTTTGATATCTTGCCATGTTTCCTTGCTAGTAGGTAATGTGTATATTTTGCCGATCGAGTCTGTGTCATCTTCGTGTAACTCTGCGCAGTTTATTGTTGCCGTGTGTTTAATTTCAAGCTCTTCTGGTCTTAAGGTGTAAGGGCTCAATATATTTGTGTGAAACGTTTTTTTCTTCCCTTTTATTTCGACTTGGTAATCTACATTTGAAATTTTGGCTGTGATTGTGAATGGACCCTGCCATGCAAGCTGTAATTTGTTGTGCTTAGAAGGTAACAGTATTCTGACCTGTTCCCCTACTGTGAACTGGCGTAGCTTTCTATTCCTGTTCACCCTGTGTCTTGCTATTTCTCCCTTTTCTTGTAGCGCGAGCTTTGCTTCCTGGCATGCATTGATTATATTTTCTCTAAGATTGACAATGGCTTCATATGTTGTTCTGGTTTCTTGTTCTATGTTCTGTTTGTAGAGAAGTGTCCTAAGTATATCCATGGGGCCTTTGGGGTTGGCGCCGTAGACGAGTTCGAATGGAGAAAATCCAGTAGAAGAATGAGGTATTTCTCGGTAGGCGAATAGGATACATGGTAGCATGGTATCCCAGTTTTCTGGGTTGTCTTTAGAGACTTTGTCTAATAACGATTTAATGGTGCCGTTTAGTCGTTCACACACGCCATTGCTTTGAGGGTGATAGGGCGTCGTGAATGCTTGCTTAATCCCCAGCACACTCGTGAGTTGTCTCGTTAAGTCGGAGGTAAATTGTGTGCCCCGATCTGACAGTATGGTGTCCGGGAACCCGGTTCTTGAGAAGAACGTGAGTAGGGCGCCTGCTATATCCTCAGATGTTATCGTCTTTAGTGGGAAGGCTTCTGGCCAACGTGTTGCAAAGTCGACTATTGTGAGGATGTATCGGTGACCACGTTTTGATGGGGTAGGCAGTGGTCCTATGATATCTATCGCTATTTTTTCGAATGGTCTGTTAGCTAAATCAGTGGTTTGTAATGGGGCTTGGGGTGGTCTAGTGGTATCTCTATTCCTGCATGTCTGACATGACTTCACGTACTGTGAGATGTCTTTGTCCATGCCCGGCCAGTAGAAGGTAGTTTCAATTCTTTGTTTTGTTTTCTTTCTTCCCATGTGTCCTGCAAGTGTAAGGTCGTGTGCATGGTGTAGAATTTGTGGTCTGTATTTCTGTGGGATTACTAATTGGTTTATTTCTTGTCCTTTGCCTTTATATTTTCTTTGAAGCGTGTTATTCTTAATAAAGAAAGAGTGTTCTGATGACCTCGATGTAGTGATTGAGTGTTTACGGGCGAGTCTAAATATCTTTTCTAGTGACGGGTCTTCTTGTTGTGCTAACTGAAATTTTTCTGGTTCCCAAATGTTTTTGGCCTCAGTATTATCTATGGCGTTGTTATGTTGGTCTTCTGCTTGATGACTACTTAGGTCGACGGGTGGTTCATGACTCTTGTTGCTTTCTCTTGCTTTTCTTGCTTGTTCTCTTGTTTCGACCATCTGAATTATTTCCCTTTGTACCCAATCGTCGATTTCCACTCGGGAAATAGTTTCGTTGTTCACTATGTTTCCGATGATCAGATCATATGATCCATTGTCAGTGACCACAGCAATTACGCGACCAGTTAGATATGGGGTTTGAATATTGATCAATGCCGTTTTGTATTCTGCGATTATACCGCCAAATAATTCCACATTTACATATTGGCCTGTATATTGGCATGTTTTAACAAATTTGGCTTTTACTGCTATTGTTGAACAACCAGTGTCTCGAATTGCGTTTACTATCTGTCCGTTTACTTTAGACTTAAATGTTGGTAACGAGCTTGATGTGTTTAGTAGGTGGATTCTTTCAACTGGTTGGTCATGGCTTTGTGAAGGGTTGCTTCTCTGTGGTCTCTGGTAAGATCCGTTCCTTGAAGATGAGCGTTGTTGGCTTAGTTGTTCTAAGTAGTTCACTCGAGTTCCAACTCTAAATTGTTTCACACCTCTAAAATTTCCTAATATCACGTCGTATGGCCCGTTTTTAAAAACAGCTGCTTCAACTGTTTTACACGCTGAGGGTGTGGCTATGGTGACCATAGCTGTTGGCCAAACATATGTGCTGCCTCTTGAGCTGTGAACACGTTGTGTTCTGCCTGTGTATTGGTGGTGTTGTACGAATGTGTTACGTACTGCCACTGTTGAGCAGTGTGTGTCCCTAATTGCTGTTGCGTATCTGTTATTAATTTTTGACGTAAATATGTCTGTTCTTCTACTGGCTTCTGTAAACGATGACATAAAAGCTATTCTATTTATCTGTCTATATTTTGGTCTGTTGCGTTGTGCATCTTGTTTGCGTCTGTCATAATATCGTATTCTGCAATTTATTTGTTTGTGGCCTGTTCTATTACAATAGTAGCATCTGACACTGTAATTGTGTTTCTGTTGACTGTAGTTAATCTGAATGTTGTGATTTGCCGTATTATGTTTTTGGAGTGTATGTTGTGTTTCACTTTTTGTTGTAGGTATTTCGCTTGCTTCACTGAACGTGTCATCTGAATCTGAATCGAAGGAATAGTAAAATGTTGTTTCGGCTGTCTGGTTGTTATTATTCGTATCTAAACTTTGCACCGTTTCTTGTTTGGCTTGGCAAAGTTCTCTCAATTTTTCTCTTTCTTTACGAATTCTTTCTGTTTCTTCTTTAATTCCGGCAATATATGTTTCTGCTTCTCTTTGTTTCTCTGCTAACTCGGCATCTATCTTTGCATCATATTCTTCTTCAGTCAACAAGGAATCTGGATCTCCGGTTACCTTATAATCTACAATTCTATTGATCAAATCTTCCATAGCATCTGGATCATCTAGAGTTTTTGCGTCAAATTATTTAACAGTTAATAACCAGTCTCGATTTTCTGTTGTCGTGTATTGTCCAAGCCTAATAATCAATTCATCCAGAATATCTGGATCCTCAATAGTTCTTGAATTGCTTTTCACTTTGACTGTATTCTGAACATTTATATCTAGTAACGAGTTATCAATTCTACCTGACTCTTCTAGGCCTGACTTAAGCTCAGTTTTAGTGCCCACTTCGTACAATGGAGGCATTTTTAAGGGTAGTGTGGTTGAAGAAACAGATAAGAAAGAGGCAGAAAAACCGCTGGCACCAAATATCCAGCACAAGTCCAAACCCAAACGTTTAAAAAAATTTTGGAAGGTACTTATCTTTTTGGACATGTTGACTGTTTCCTTGTGTTGTTAATCCAAACTCGTTCCGGTTGAAGAAACCCGCTGTTGTGTTGAGTTGAAGAAAGCTGTACACCAGATGTACTCCGTCATGTGTAACCCGATATACCCAGTCTTTCCTGTCCTCGACCCGCGCTCCACCAGTTGTGAGGGTGGAGATTTTTAAGATGCGAAACGAATGACTCCAATAACACACAGTTCAAGTTCAACTATAATTGTTCTTTATTAAAATGATATATATGTTCAAGTTTCTACCTAACTGATCTACACTGTACTATTTACTTCTACTACTGACTGTTCACTATACTACTAACTCCCATGACCAATCCTAACACTAACTGTTCTCTACATTCTACATCTGCTCCATTCTACAACCTAACACCTTCTGCCTTCGCTAGCTAATCATGATCTCCTAACTATCTACATTCTCGGCCGTCTCTGCCGCTACCTAACAACTCCTGGCCTATCGCTCTACTGACCCACGCCTCAGTGGTCAGCTGACCGTCCCACGTGACCGGTCAGCCCTGTGCGCCCATTGGCCTCTCTACCCAACCAACTAGGCCTATAGTCTGTTTCTGCTAACCTATATCTGCTAAACATGTCTGACGTAATCTTGCGTCATCACACTGTCAGTTGGTTTTTTTACATTCAAATCTTTCTTTCTGTCAGTTCAGGGGAGGTCAGTTGGTTTTCTTTACATTCAAATCTTTCTTTCTGTCAGTTGGTTTTCTTTACATTCAAATCTTTCTTTCTGTCAGTTCAGGGGAGGTCAGTTGGTTTTCTTTACATTCAAATCTTTCTTTCAGTTAGTTAAGGGGAGGTCAGTTGGTTTTCTTTACATTTGTATAATATTCACGTTTTTTTATTTTTTGGAATAAAATATTCAACTTTGGTTGAAAAGTAAACTTTCTGGCAAATACTAAGTTGAAGCACTTTTCAAGCATATTGTCGTTAAAACATTATGCAAGCAAACATAGAAATCTTCATTAACATTTACATTTGGATATCACTGTAAATAGCTGGTGCAAAGCCTATCCGATTTCGGCAAGTACGTTATAATATTTCCGAAATATCGACAATCTATTTTAAGTCCTCACCAGTTCAATATCAAATGAGTGAATTGAGTGAGCCCTTAACTCTAATAATACAATTGATTATTTGCATAAGTCGTGAACGGGTAGCATATGTTTAAGTGTTCGATCCTATCTATAGTTATTGGTCTGATAGCTTTAGCGGTTAGTCATATATTGTAACGGCTTTTGCGATTAATCAAACATGAAATAGCTTTAGAGAATTAACATCGCCGAATCTCTTTAAAAGGGACTACCACCTACTTATTTAATATCTGGTATCCCCAGTTCGACGCTAAATACCTGTGACAGCGTGCTTTATTTCTAGTTCATTTATGACCGCTGTTAGTAGATCGCTTGTTAAAAAATCAATGACTTAAAACCTTGCGAGGAAACTGGTAGTTTGTATTTGGGAATATCACCATAAACTCTTTATCGAGAGACTCGACTCTTAAACATTACGCTTAAACACCAAATCTCCTAAACTTTAACTCAGATAACACCACAAAATCGACATCGGGAGAATAAAATCGACTCTTAAACACGACACTTAAACACCATAACACCATATTATAAACTGTAAGATAATTTTATCCACTCTCTAGGTGTAGCACATACACTCTTAACTGCGAGTGGCATGTACATTCTTAGCTTCGAGTATCACCTCCTGCGCTTCTATTTATCACAGTATCACCTCCATTGGCTCATATTCGTTACAGTATCACTCCCTGTGCGCCTATTTCTCACTGTATCACTCCCTGTGCGCCTATTTCTCACTGTATCACCTCCATGGGCGGGTGATGAAAATCAAATAGCCAAAATGCTTATTTCTAAACCTAATGCTATAATATTTAGCATATAGTTATGACTCAAAGCGTTAAGTCTAAAAATAAAAAAAAATGGCCGAAAATTTCCTGCCGTTGCTATGGTTATGGCGGTCATCTTATATTTTTTTTTTACAGTTTTAACATTGTTTCGAAACTCAAACAGAATTTCGAAAACGTTATTTAAATCGGATGTTTCCCAATCCGAACAAAGATACACGGAAACACCATTTTTTCGTTGGACTTTTCAGATTCAGGAATTATATCTTGTTAACCAAATTTAAATTTAAAAAGTTGAATTTGATGTTTCAGGATCCGAACGACCTGATCCCAAACATCGGACATGTCGTGTCGTTGAACCCACAGCCAGGTTCTCCCGTCAAGTTCTTGTTCCAGCATTACCTGGCAATGCTTTCAGCCTTGTACCTGGCCAAAATAGAATGGTGAGTTATCTATACCTGGCCAAAATAGAAAGGTGAGCTATCTATAACTGGCCAAAATAGAAAGGTGAGCTTTCTATACCTGGCCAAAATAGAAAGGTGAGCTATCTATACCTGGCCAAAATAGAAAGGTGAGCTATCTATACCTGGCCAAAATAGAAAGGTGAGCTATCTATGGCTGACCAAAATAGAAAGGTGAGCTATATATACCTGGCCAAAATAGAAAGGTGAGCTATCTATACCTGGCCAAATTAGAAAGGTGAGCTATCTATACCTGGCCAAAATAGAAAGGTGAGCTATCTATACCTGGCCAAAATAGAAAGGTGAGCTATCTATACCTGGCCAAAATAGAAAGGTGAGCTATCTATAACTGGCCAAAATAGAAAGGTGAGCTTTCTATACCTGGCCAAAATAGAAAGGTGAGCTATCTATACCTGGCCAAAATAGAAAGGTGAGCTATCTATACCTGGCCAAAATAGAAAGGTGAGCTATCTATAACTGGCCAAAATAGAAAGGTGAGCTTTCTATACCTGGCCAAAATAGAAAGGTGAGCTATCTATACCTGGCCAAAATAGAAAGGTGAGCTATCTATACCTGGCCAAAATAGAAAGGTGAGCTATCTATACCTGGCCAAAATAGAAAGGTGAGCTATCTATACCTGGCCAAAATAGAAAGGTGAGCTATCTATACCTGGCCAAAATAGAAAGGTGAGCTATCTATGGCTGACCAAAATAGAAAGGTGAGCTATCTATACCTGACCAAAATAGAAAGGTGAGCTATCTAAACCTGGCCAAAGTAGAAAGGTGAGCTATCTATACCTGACCAAAATAGAAAGGTGAGCTATCTATACCTAATTTCTACGACTATTTGTGTTGAGGGTGAGGAAGTGATTTCAGAAATCGAGACATCATTTTTTACATTTTAATAAGTAATGTAAGAAACTGAATGATAGCAGTTATTTGGCATTTTTATAGGATTTATTTTTTGTAGACTGTTATAAAAATGGATCAATACACACAATGTTGACCGAACGCGCAGACATATTAGAAAAATATCGATATTTAAAAAAAAAAATTTCGAAAAGGGGGAGGGAGAAGAGGTTTTGAAGTGTGGTGTTATTAGGTGAGTATCATTTTTGTGTGACAATGTTTGACTATAGGGAGAGTGGTGTGTAAAAAAAAGTTAGAAAAGCGTGACGTCATTTATAAATATATTTTTTTCTAGAGAAATACCCCTCACCTCCATCACCCCCCCCCCCAACAAGAGACTGAAACAGCCACGTGTTACTCACGTGATCAGTCTCACTGTGGACTCCGAACTAGGTCATCGTTTATCAGGCTAAAAATATCCTTTTCAAACACGATTGGCAACAGCTTTTAAGACGGTAGAGGCCAACAGACACCTATGTAGTGTTAACCTGATCTCATTATTTAAAAACGTATTCCTTTCAACTTGAAGTACTCAAAAAAAAGTAACCAATATATGTTGACTTCATAAATTGATAAAGGATTAGAGCGACTATTTTTAAAAATACATTTCCCTATCCCAGATTAAATTTATAGAAACAGGACGTGTCGTCCAGATTGACGCCAGTTTTACGCGGATTAAAAATTCAAGGAAAACCAAGCTTATTCTTGACACAAAAAGATAAACCGTATCAGATAATCCTTAATCCGATTCTTCATAAATAACAGTTTTTAATCTTAAACATACTACTAAAAAAGTATCGACTTTTCAAACTAGTCCTTTTTAATATCCTTTATTTATCCCCCCCCCCCCGCTACGACTAAGATGCCCCCTACCTCCACGTAGATTCACTCCCACGATGATGCCCCCCCCCCCCCCGGACTCACCACACACTTATATATGACATATTAGCCAGTAATGGAGTAGACAGGGGGTGTTAGGAGTTACAAAATCTTACAGGACCCACAAAACGACAGCTATCTCATGCTAATTTACTGCAGTTGGCGACAAAATGACAAAATAGCCTGGATATCTAATATCAGGGAATGAATATATCCGGAAACACTATTATCCAAATATACTATGTTGATATCCACTATCCAAACTCGATTTACTTAAAATATTTCAACTGTTATGTGCTTCTATTTTTAATTTTTTTTTTCATCCTGTTTATGAAATTTTGATCTGGCCAGGATATATGTTCACGGGGACACAGTGCCATCTGGCGAGTGGTGGGACAGGCTGCAAGGGGAGAACATCACATTTGTTTACGTGAGTTGATTTGTTACGTTCCTTTAATTATATGAGTTATGTCGGCGGTTTTATTATTTTGTTTAGTTTATCATTTTGTGTGTGCAAACTTTTTCTAAAGTTTTACTATCAAGCTACTAGGGTGGGTGGGTGGGTGGGTTGTGGGGTGAATGGGTTGGTGGGTTGGTGGGTTGTGGGGTAGAAGGGTTGGTGGGTTAGTGGGTGGGTGGGTTGTTTAGTGGGTGGGTGGGTTGTGGGGTGGATGGGTTGGTGGGTGGGTGGGTTGTGGGGTGGATGTGTTTTGGGGTGGATGGGTTGATGGATTGGTGGGTTGTTGAGTGGGTGGGTGGGTTGTGGGGTGGATGGTTTGGTGGGTGGGTTGATTATTGGGTGGGTGGGTTGTTTTGGTAGGAGGGTGGGTTGTTGAATGGTTAGGTGGGTTGTTTGGAGGATATTTGGTGGGTACGTAGGTTGTTGGGTAGGTTTTTGTGTCCTGTCATTTGTCTGTTTTATTTATTTCAAGTGATAGCCTGATGTCTATATAATGCCTTCATTATTTCAGATAGATAGTCCTAAGTCTGTCTATACTGTCTTTTTTCTGTATTTCATATAGATAGTCCTAAGTCTGTCTATACAGTCTGTTTTCTGTATTTCATATAGATAGTCCTAAGTCTGTCTATACAAACTGTTTTCTGTATTTCAGGTTGACAGTCTGATGTCTGTCTATACAGTCTGTTTTCTGTATTTCAGGTTGACAGTCTGATGTCTGTCTATACAGTCTGTTTTCTGTATTTCAGGTTGACGCTCTGATGTCTGTCTTCCAGCAACAGATCCAGGTCACCGCCCACAGAGCTGACGTTCTAAGGATTCTGATACTTTATAAATATGGCGGCATTTACTTTGTGAGTGGTATTTGGGTGGTATTTACTATGTGAGTGGTATTTAGGTGGTATTTAATTTGTGAGCGGTATGTGGGTGCTATTTACTTTATGAGTGGGATTTGGGTGGCATTTACTTTGTGAGCGGCATTTAGGCGGTATCTACTTAAAGAATGCCATTGGGGTGGTATTTACTTTGTTTATGGTATTTAAGTGGCATTCCCCTTGTGGGTTTAATGCCAGTTTAATCTCATTAATTTTGAGAGTGTGGTTTAGGGTATTGCAATTAGCTAGTAATAGTTCCAATACATTAGCTAGATGAGTCTTTTTATTTTGTAGGATATATTTGCTTTGTTGTTATCTACATGGGGAACATTTAATTTTCATTACAATTATCTTCAAGTACTTGAATCCAATGATACACATAAGTAAAATACCCTTTTGAACCTTACGGTTTATTGTGCAAGTGAAGTAGAGTTCACCCGTTTTAGTAACCTCGATATAGGGATAGTGTGGTTAGCATTATGCCCAGCAGCTTTTACTTTCCCTAACGTGAGATTATAGACTAAGGGAAAACGTACGGATTTGTACCCGGGATCTGAACTCGAGACGTTCAGGTTAGCAGTTGAGCTACGATTCGACCACACCGTCCTTGTATCCAGTAAGGTTTTGTACAAAAATGAATTATAAAATTGTTCTTTTTTTATAAATTAAATTTTTCTTAATAAACATAGTATTTCTTTCCTCAACTAGAAATTCAAATATTATACTTTAATATATATAGGCCCTATATATATATTATGTAGTTAAACTACTTCCACATTGATTTTTTGTTTTTTATCAGCTTAACATACGCAAGCAAATCATAAACAAAGCAATTGAACTTTGAATATGAGCGACATTAATACAATCGATCGCTTTAATATTTGGACTATAAAAATAATATGTCTAGAGAACTCTAGAGCATTAACCTATATAGGAGTAGTCGATTTATTTTCCATTTCAAATTTATTACAGTCATTTAAAAATAAGCTAATCCGTAATAATTGAAGAAAGGTTTAATCTATTCAAATCTATAGTTGTGTTCCTGCCTGAGGAATAGACTTTAATATACAGTTTAATTCTACACGTTTGATATATGACATTTTATATTTGTTTTGTAGATGTGTTACATGTTTTAATCGATGGATACATCCCATTTAGTAATCCACGTGTTATAGATGTATTGAATGTTTTAAACTGTGGATATATCACATTTTATAATACATGTTTAATAGATGTGTTAAACAGAAGCGTCACGAGGCGAGGGCAGGGGGTTCGGACCGCACCGGGTGACACCATTTTAGGTGCGAAAAATTGCTGAACATCTAGAAGAATTATGCTTTTTGTCAGTTCAATTAATGATTAATTAGAGTTGATCCACATATATTAATAACTGACTATAGATAAACATCTTTACTATTACCTGTGCACACTTCAAAACTATCACCCGATGGTGGGGGAGGGGGGTGTAACACCAACTACAAACAGAGGAAAAAGGATTTGTTGAGTACCTTGAGGTGCCGCACCGGGTGACACCCGACCTAGCGACGCCACTGATGTTTTTAATCTGTGAATATATCACATTTATAATCCGTATTTTGTAGATGTACAATATGTTTAAATCGGTGGATATATCACAATTTTTAATCCATGTTTTGTAGATGTGTTAAATATTTTATACCTTGAATATATCACATTTGTAATCCGTATTTCATAGATGTGTTAAATACTTAAATCGGTTGAAATGTAGGCCCCCTATCACATTTTTAAATCCATGTTTTGTTGATGTGTAGAACCTTCTAACTAAATCTTCCATAGGACAGAGACGTGTTCTGGGCCACCCCACCGTCGACTGACCTACGCAGATACCCTAGCATCATGTGCCTGGACTGGCCATACTACCAAGAGTGGCCAAAAGGAGGAAGTATCGGACTACTCCTGTCTAAACCTGCCGCCCCCTTCATGATCAAACTCTTAGATTCATTTTGGTAATTTACATTATTTAAGTTTTTTTTTCTTCTTCCTCGTTCTGAATTGTAATTTAATTAAGTATTACGTACCAATTTGTTAAGGGCGATATAACCTGTTGATTCCGACTTTGCTTCCAAACAAAAAAACGCAATTCTCCAGAATGGAAATTGCGCTAAAAAGGAAGAATGATCCTTCAATAATCTTTCATTTTCAATGCTTCAATTACATAATCAACATAGAGGTTTAGATGTTCGATTGGTTATCTAGGGATATTTAGCCCTACCATTGCAGTTAAATAAGACAAGCATTTCAATGAACTTAAATTAAAATTAATTGATTTTGATTTTAATATCACTAACTCTGCACTTTGCAACTGAGATTCTTTCAAGTATCTCTTCCTGTAAAGAACGTCTACCACCCCCCCCCCCCTAAAATGAAATAGAATTTAATTAGAGAAAATATGCTTTGACCAGCGTCCGCCCCCATGAAAATATAGTCCGCCCACCCGAAATTTTCATGTACCCCCCCCCCCCCCCCCCCCCCCCAAAGAAAAAAAAATCTGAAAAAAAAACACAGCTTTGCAGCAAGTAATTAAAACTAAGTTGTTAAACAATTTGATACGTACACCCGGGAGCTTAATCAAAGTGTGCGCGTGAGATTTAATTAGTGAGAGGTTTTAAGTGTTTGCTATGCCTTGGAACATGAAATAGAAAGTTCAGCTAAAAATAGCGTGATGTCGGAAATAAACGCGTCTTTTGCTGATTTATTTAGTTTAAAACAAGTTTCAGAGCTTTTGACATATAAGCTGTGGAAAATGAATAGCGAGGTGCACTTATTGACCCGTGACTTCCCTCCATTTCTCCCCTTGCCATTAACATGTGTAGAAAGTGAATGGAACTTTTGCAGGCTCTTCCGTGACAATATCTGGGAGTTTAATGGCGTCTGGATGCCGTACAAGGTCTTTGAGAGGAATCCGGAGACGATACTCATTCATAAGAGACTACAGGTAAGGTAATTGACATTAATAAAAGTACATGTGATTTCAGGTAAGGTAATTGACATTGCGAAAAATACAGGTGAGTTCAGTTAAGGTCATACACTGCTCACATACAGGTGACTGCAGGTAAGGTCATAGACACTGCTAAACATACAGGTGACTAGAGGAAGGTCATAGACCTAACATACAGGTGACTAGAGGAAGGTCATAGACCTAACATACAAGTGACTAGAGGAAGGTCATAGACCTAACATACAGGTGACTAGAGGAAAGTCATAGACCTAACATACAGGTGACTAGAGGAAGGTCATAGACCTAACATACAGGTGACTAGAGGAAGGTCATAGACCTAACTACAGGTAATGTCATCAAACTTGCTCAAGCACAGGTGATTAAAGGTCATAGAAACAGCTCATACAGGTAAGGTCATAGAACCTGCACGTACAGAGATGACTACAGGTGAGGTCTATGAACCTGCTCATATACAGGTGACTATATGTAAGGTCACAGAAGGTGCTCATACACAGGTTACAGGTAAGATCATAGATCTTGCTAATACATATGCTACTACATGTTCTATAAAAAAAAACATTCTAATACATACAATACGGATAGGGCATAGACCTTTGTTCGTAAAGTGTGCGTTTGTGTGTTTGGGGGGGGGGGATTGATGCAAGTATCAAAACACAATTAGCTTTAAAATAAAGTTGTGTGAATCTAGCATTTAACACTATGATTTATTACGTTTAACAAGAAACTAAATTATAATGACAAAACATAAATAAAATAGTCATCTATCGCAATAGGGCTGGTAAGTAGGTCACCAACCAGTTCTATGGCTCATGCAGGTTTTAGTGAGCCGTACAGCTGGTTGGTGACCTACTTACCAGCCCTATAACTAAGACAACAGATGTATAGTTTTTTGTAATAGATTGGTATACGTAATCAGATTGATAATTAGCGGCTTAATTATCTTATGTCAGGTAATTTGTTTCGTTGGCGTATGTCATCCAGCCTGGCATGAAGACTTCATCAGACCATACTCAGAGTCTAACAAACCAACACAGCCATTCGACATCAGGGAGGCCAATGGTTAGTGGTTAATGGTGTTTCAGTACTCTCTCTCTCTCTCTCTTTCTCTCTCTCTCTCTCTCTCTGTGTGTGTGTGTGTCACGTACACACAGACACATTTTTATTTTTATAAAGTTGTATACGCACACACAAACACACACATACATATATATATATATATATATACGTATATATATATATATATATATATATATATATATATATATATATATATATATATATATATATATATATGGTGACAGGACAAATGATCTCCAAACAAATTATCTCAGACAAAATATCTCACGGACAAATGATGTCAGGTCAAAACATATCAGGACAAATGGTACCATGGACAAATGATCTCAGACAAAATATCTCACAGCAAACTTTAATAGTGTATTGCATGATTTTAGTTGATCTGAACATTTTTTATTGACTGTCATATTGTTTTGTTTACTATGTTAAATATTGTTTAGTGGCCTATTTAATAACTACAAGAAATGGTTGCCGTATACATTTGTCATATTGCACAAAACATTTTAAAATTAAGATTACTAATACAGTATGCGAAGATTAAAGACATTTTTTTCGATAGACAGCATAGGTTGGCTTGCCAAACATGAGACAATCCTACCATGTCAGGTGGACCAAACTAGATCAAAGTGAATGAAATAACAATTTATAACCTGAAATTCTTGAGCACGAATCCCTGACACTTGTCAGTAGAACGTCCGTGCCTCCCCTCACCTTGCTATGTTGGGTACCTGACTCACGTTTTGGGAAAGCAAAGGCAACTTACCATAGTGCTGACCAAACTATACCTTCATATTCCGAGATCACTGAAATATGCCACTCTACTTCACCTACTAATTGACCTTCATGCTTGAAAGGTTACTTGAGTTACCTTACTTCTCTAATCCATACTGCTGCTATTCCAGCCTACCACTTCACCTACCCCAAGCCGGACCCCAGCCTAGTATCTTTCGCCACAATAAGAAACCATACAGATATACCAGCCCAACTTGGCAAGATGTTGATTGAAGCGATTCAAAAATCTGGCAAGCAACATTTGATTGTGGACAGCTAGCTTAGTTGTGATTGTAAAAACCGAACTCATTTGTTTCTATATTGACTGTTAAATCATTTGCAGGTTAAAAATATTATTTTAAAAGCAGTGTTGGTAAAGGCTGAATGGATGACTGTCAGGGATTGATAATATCCTAGACCCGTGTATTTTTATATTTGTGATGTCACTGTTTGTGGAACGGCATGGTCTAGTGGTATTGCGCATGACTGCTACCGGAGATGCGTGAACTCTGATCCTGCTTTTGAGTCCCTTAAAATATCCCTGAGCCTACCCAGTTCAGATAAATACCGGTCTCACGATAGGGAAAGTACTGACCACACTCTCCCTTTAAATGATGACGTTATAAAACAGGTGAACTCTACTTCATCTACACCTTGGACTACAGGTAATAAGGCTAATTTTAGTTTACTTAGTATGCATGTTGTCGTGCGTTTTATGTGCTAATTCGCTTTTTCAATTGGCGTAAGTAAAGATTATTTTTACGTTTCGTTATTTCCATTGTTTCTACTTTTTAGATTTCTTTGTTTGTATAAATGTAAATAAATTTGGAAGTGTTGTGTGATTGATTTGTATCGGTTACTGTGTTGCAATCACATTTTGCAAGTTCTGCTTTTTTTTTGCAGGCAAACTAAATTATTTTTTTTTTACTTTTCAGTAAAAAAAATAATTTAAATATGATTTTTTTTTTGTGATTTGTGTTTATAATATAAGATTTTTTTCCCTTAAAAAGAAATTATACAAACATTACTTTAAAAAAGATTTTTTAAAAAAAATGTGCATTTGTTAAAGACAGAATGTAGAAAGTTTTAGTTTATATCAAATTTACTACTCATAAGAAGGATATAAATTTGTCAAATCATCTAACTTTTCGTTAGTTATCTAGTTAAACGAATCAGCAGGATTATAGGCCTATCAGGAATTGCAGCTTAAGGATGTAGATAAAGATTAGGGAGTGTCTAAGCCAGATAAAAGGGATTTTATAAGATTTTCAGATATCTGGCTTAGAGTTTGGGGATTATAAATTATTGAAGAAATGTCAGAGATAAAGAAAATTTAATCCAAGTTGCGATTAAATTTGTTTTTTTTTTTCGACCCATGATTGAATTATTCGATGTCTGGATTATGTGATACATTGGAGGTAACTCCATGTTATCTCAATAACAACATGTGGGTTGGGTTATACATACATACATATATACCTATATATATAAAACTATATATACATATGTATGTATGTATATATATATATATGTATGTGTGTATTGGTTAATTATTTATAAAAAAAACCAATAAATCAATTAAACAACAGTTTGGAGACTTAAGATTTCCAAGCTTTGCAAGGAGAAAAATATAACGTAATTTGTTCA